ACTTAAATGATTTTAGCAAATGGCTGCAATATAACGAAGAGTGAAAAATTGAAGGGGGTCTGAATACTTTCCATACCCACTGTACCTCCTCGCTCGAGCCTCTCAGAGAGTCATGTGACTGTGAGGTCCAGTGATCTTCTGGAAATGAGCAGATTAACACTTGCTCTCAAAACCCCTTGACTTCAGTCTTTCCCCGTCTCCTCCTCTTTATCTGTCTGTTCTCTACTTGTCCTCTCTTTTCTTCTAAGTTGTGTACGAGACAAGAGTTTTTCCATTGGATGAAGGTTAATGTCCTTGTAAAATAGTACTGTGGCAGTACCATGGTAAAGTATCAGATGCTAACACTACGGGAATTCATTTTATCACATCTTGTTAATAACATCCCTGTCGAATACTTGGTTTTGATTGGGTGATTGCACTGAATTTTGATTTCCTAGACAGCTTTATGTATCATTGTGTGGTCTCTTTTAATATTTAAAAATATTGGGCATAGGTATTCTAACTGTAAATTTCTATGAATTTAAATAATCTATAAATGTATTATTATTATTATTATTTCCATGAAAATTAAAAAAAATAAATGTAATGTCCTTTAAATTTTGCACCATTTGTTTTCACACTATTCACAAAGAAATACTACTGTATTTGTAGTACTTTTACATCACCAATCACCAACTTTTTTACATCACCAATCTAGCTGTCTGTCATTTGAATCTGCTTTATGTGCGGTAGCTGGCAGTAAGAAAAGCACCTCAGTGTTTGTGCTTATTATTCTTCAGAGAGAAACCACACACACACACACACACACACACACGCACGCTGCATTCCAACGCCGGCACGTTCCTTGCAACTATGAGCCTAATTTAAGCTCAGTTTGGGTTCTGACATTTATTCATAATGATGATGAAGATGATTATAATCATCTCTACCTCATAAAAAAAAAAAACATTAAAACGTCATGATATAAATCATTATGCTCCATATTGCGACATGTTTTTCAGTGCTTTCATGTTCTAATTGTGTGGCCTAGGTGGACAAGCCAAAAACAGCACAGCACCTTCAGGTCGTCTTTGAGATTGATAGAAGACCAACCTGAGGCACTTTGAGGCCCATTCCTCAAACCTGCCAGGAGATGAGGACTTTCCCTCACTTGTTTCTCATTCAGCTATGAATTAATGAGTTGATTCCTGAGGCAGAGCAGCAGGCCGTGATGATAGAGAGAGAGTAATCATGACCTTTCTATGAACTCAGCAGCCTTCAGCCAAAACCGCCACAGAGAACGGCTGGCCAACTGAGCGACCCCGACAGGAACCAGCAAAACAGGTCAGCTTCTCATGTGTAGCTTCTCATGTTTGTGTCGGGTTTAGGTTTGTAATTACTGAGTAAATGACTTTCTCTAATAAATTAGGGATGGATAATATGTTGGTAACTATATCAGGATCAGTCATAGGTGTATTTTTATTGCATAGTCTTATTCTTATTATTTTTCCGTATCATTATAAGTCTGATTTAGCTTATAATGAAATTAATATCAGGGCCTGTTTGTTTTTTATATTATTTTCAATATACTGCAATTAAAACATAATAATATTAATCATTACTCTCTATATTGCAACATCTAGAAAAAAAAATCCCTTCACATTGAGCATTGTTAAAGCTGATTTCATTTTAACATGATTGTTTTATTGTATTTATTACATATTATTATTATTATTATTATTATTATTAATCAATATGTTCTATATTGCTACATCTAGAAAAAATGCCCTTCACATTCAGCATTTTAAATCTGATTTTATTTTATTTATTGCATATTTATTATTATTATTATTATTATTATTATTATTATTATTACTTATCCGTATAAGTCTGATTTAGCTCATATTAGAATGAAACAATATCAGGGTTTTTTTTATGTTGTTGTTATTATTATTATTATTAGTATTAGTATTAGTATTAGTATTATTTAATATATTGCAATTTTATTTAAAGCATGGGGAATTCTAGATTGCCAGTTTTATTGTAAAGACAGGAAAAAAACAATGTAAGTTTACATTTACATTGATAATCAAATCAGCTATTGTCCATGATAAATAAATAGCAAAATAAACGATTAAAGTATATATTTATACATATTATATATACTTATTAATGTGTTTGCATTTAAAACACACACACACACACGGATACACACACACACAGTCACTTTGAGTCAGAAGCAACATCTTTCTTCTTAAAAAAAAAGATATAAATAAAAACAGCTATTTGTGAAACAGAAATTAATAAAAGTTGAATGAGTAAGAGGAAGTCTCGCTGTGGTTTTCTGCACTCTGTACGTCTGGTGGAAGTTTTCAGACAATTATGTCTGACAGCTCCTTTGCCGCTGGAGGACAGGATCTGTCCTTAGGCTGTGTCTGACCAACAATTCAGAGAATGTGTGTGCGTGTGTGTGTGTGTGTACTGGTTTACATATCCTGGTGGGGACTTAAACCTGACTACGCAGACAATCTCAGAATCATTGTAGGTGGGACAGAACTGATTTTGTGGGATTTTTACTAAAATACACCCTTTGGGCCATAATGGAAACACATCCACTCAATCCAAATCTAAACGCAGAGCCAAACTGAAATGGAAACTGTGTTAAGGCCGAAAAATTGTCCCATGAGAGAAGATCTACGACACGTAGATTGCCTCATCTCATTGTACAAAGCCCCAAAGTTTTTAAATACACCTGTGTGTGCTTTAAATGATTGGCATGGAATCAATGTTATACATTTTTGTTTGCTGTTCTTGGCTTGTGTCCCTGTTATCTTGAATGGGGTAGTGTTTATTTTAAAGGCTTCTTTTGCAATTCAAAGCATGGTTAAAATGTTACTGTCGTTAACGACAACACTCAGAGCCATGTGATAGTTTGGCTAACAGTGATTTGCTAATTATCATTAGTGTTTATTTCAGGTTCAATATGCATTTAGAATTATTTGCATTTATAGTTTCATATATAGATAGCATTATAAATATTCTGTTTTCTTAAAATCAACATCCTGTGTACTTTTTAATGTTACTGGTTTCATAGTGCAAGATTTATTATTGCATATTATATTCCAGTCTGTCCCACATTATTATTATTATTTTTATTATTATTATTATTATTAATGCAAATTATTTTATAATTTTTTTTGCAAATTGCTTTTGTATATACATTTTTTTTGCATCCAGAAATGTATATCTAAATAAATAAATAAATAAAAATTTTGCGACTAACATATTTCCAGTTTTTCAGTATAACTTTGACCATTTCTGAAGCACAAATACTGGCCTTAAAAAGATCACGTGTAAAATTCCTTTCGACTGAGCAATCACAGCGATGCGATGGTTCCTCATCAACCACTGACCTGTCTGGAGTGGAGAGATATTTCTGTTTCTGGAACTTCTTCTCCAGGCCCAGCAGCTGCAGCTCAGTGAAGATGGTGCGGCTGCGGCGGGGTTTCTTCAGCCGCGGGGTGCTGTGCTCCGTCTCTGATTCGCTGCTGATGCTGACGGGCGTCTCGCTGGCTGTGGGCTCGGAGGTGAGCGGGTGCTGGGGTGACAGAAGGGGCAGGAGAGGAGACAGCTGAGAGATCTGCGGGAGGCTGCTGGGCTGCTGGTGTGTGATCACAGACAGGAGAGGGTACGATCTCAGAGGAGCAGAGCCTGCGAGAGCAAACAATCGACATAATGCTCTGGTTAATACTGATAGGACACAAATATTGATCATTTTCATTGGCAGAAATCATTAGTGAATCAATAATGTACATTGTGAGGAACTCTTCTGCTCTTATCAGGTCTATTAAACATTCATTTATAGCATATCATAATCACATTGCTTTCTTAAAGTAAACATAATGTGTGAATTTTTTATGTTACTGGTTTCATTCTGCAAGAGTCATTGTTGCACATTGTGCAAAAGTCAAAAACATGTTTGTTTTTTGTTTTTTTTGTGATCTTTCATTATCTACTGCCAATTTGGAATGTTCCAAACAAAATTAAAGACATTCATTTGTAATCTTTTATCAGTGTGTCCCAATCAATTCCTAGAAGTATGTATGTTTGTTTGTTTGTTTGTTTGTTTGTCTGTCTGTCTATCTATTTTTTTATTTTTTTATTTATTTCTTTATTTTCACAATGCATTTCATGTTCCACTCAGAAAAAATATCAGACTTAAATGAAAATATCACATTTATAGCATATCATAATTGCTCTGCTTTCTTAAAGTCAACATGAAATCAAATTCCTGTTTTTTTTTTTGCTTGTTTGTTTTTAAGATTCATCATCGCACATTATGCAAAATTCAAAAACTTTTTCATTTGTAATCTTTCATTGTCTAATGCCATTTTGTGTTCCAATCAATTCACCAGATATAAAAATGTAAATAAATTTATTTTTCACAATGAATTTCATGTTCCGTTCAGAAAAAAATATCAGATAAAATAAAAATATGAAATGTATAGCATATAAGTAGCCTGCTTTTTTGTAAGTCAATATCAAATCGAATTCGTATGTGCTGTTTTAATGTTACTGGTTTTATTGTGCACGATTTATAGTTGTATATTATGTAAAAAATTAAAAAACGTGTTTCTTTGTAGTCTTTCATTATCTTGTCAATTTGGAATGTTCCAATCAAATCGATTCATCATTATACATTATGCGGCATTGTACTTTTTTTTTCTTTGATTATCTAACACCATTTTGGTGGTTTCCAATCAATTCAGCAGATATAAAAATGTAAAAAAAATAATAAAAAATCCACAATTAAATTAAAAATCCACCTGGGTGAACAAAAATGGAGAGCATAATGGCTTTTGGGAAACGCAACCCTGGTTAAATACACAAATTAACTCTTATCAGGACTATTTAGCATCATACATGCCTGTAAAATCTAGTTTACAAGCTGCTAGATTGAGCCGGCTTTAACCCTGAGTTTTAACAGCTGTCACATCCACGTGAACTGTCGGCTTACCTTCACTAATGGTGTAGGTAAGTGTGAAGAGTTTTGCCCCGTGTGATGTAAGGTGGCTGATCCAGAGGTCTGCTCTGGTGATGTAACCGGTGTTTTACACTGAACTCTGGGAGGATAATGACTCTCCTATGATACACGCTGTCAGCGACACAATGCACTCTGGGTAATAATTTGTAACTGGGGCATTCGTACCCCCTCCCCTCCAGTTGTAATGTTTCAAACTCTCTCTCTCTCTCTCTCTCTCTCTCTCTCTCTCTCTCTCTCTCTCTCTCTCTCTCTCTCTCTCTCTCTCTCTCTCTCTCTCTCTCTCTCTCTCTCTCTCTCTCTCTCTCTCTCTCTCTCTCTCTCTCTCTCTCTCTCTCTCTCGCTCTCTCTCTCTCTTTGTCTCCTCCTCTTTTATTTTCAGACATTAGCGAGACGCCAGAATCCATAAAATGCAACACAGGGCCCGTCTGAGTAGAGAGAGGTCGCTTCAGCGAGCATAAAATACCTCCAGGAGAAAAAAAAAAAAGTGATCCTGAGATTTA